CATTCCTTGCGAGGAAAAATCTTTTTCTCATGAAAAACCGAGAATTGTAAAACTGACCAACATCTAATTAACCATGTAATTAGGCGTTGCGCAGGTTTAGCATTCGGTCATCGTCACCGGATTTTTTAATATTTTTTATCTCCCTATCTAAAATTGATAAAGTGCTTTTCATCTTTGAAATTCCTCTCGATTGAATACTTTTCTTAATTCATCAACGGTAACGCCTCGATCGAGGGCGATTAAAATCGCGAGCCTGATCCGATCTGTTGGGTAGCTAATTAAGTTTCGCTGAGTTTTTACGAGCCGATCGGTACGATAAGATTCAACAGGGGATTATGCTGTTCGAGTAATTAAGTTCCGCGGCGCAGTTTTCCCGGGAATTTTCGATAACAAAGGGAACCCTGATACGCCAAGTGCCGCGCTAATACGTTCGCACTTTATCCGGGGGGAAAGTTGGCCAGGGAACTTTATCCTTCGAATAACCAAAGTTGAATGGTTTTTCGTGTTCGCCGGCGATCGCTTGGTGCGATAACTTTCAAACTTTGCGCTCCCTGACAAATCAGTGCCTCGTTACTTCGATCGGTTACGAGGTTGCCTCGGAACAACACAGCAAAGTTACAAAGTATCTGTCGATAAATTGTAAACCGCACGGGGAACTTTCGAGCCCATTTTTATTATCAAACCGTGCGGGTAACTGGGATTTTTTACGTCCTAGATTGGGCCATGTCCCTCAGCTTTATAAGTGTCAAGTGTATTTCGCAAAATTTTACGAGGTAATCTTAAAATATTAGAATTTTAGAAAAGAACAGTCCACATTTTTCGGAGGCCGAATATCCCCTACCTACTTTTGCCAATGATTAAAATTAAATTTAAATTAGAGTTGGTATTAGAAAATTTGAATTGGCAGTGTATTTTTTTAATTAACACCTCCAAAAGAAATGAAGAAAAATAAAACAGCATCGAACTTGTTTATTTACCTCGCAACACCCCCTCTGCAACCGCGAGTAGGTGTAATAGAAAACGACGCGTTTCATTTGACCCGTTCAATTTAACTCCACATCGCGGAACGTAATTTTACCGTTCGATTTAACCGAACAAAATACCGAACTTCCACAGCTGCATCGTTAATGCACCACGATCGAGGGGTAGTTTCGATTTAATTGTTTATCCGGCAGCGAGCATAGTCCCTATCCGAGTAATCTAATCAGCAGGAAAATTCATTTCCAGAATCGTCAGAATCGACGAAACGAACTTCCATTTTTACTATCGTAGATATACGAAAAAGGAATCTAGAGAAAATTATCGAAAGGAAAGAGATAGAGCGAAACGCTTCCAATTACGGAGTATCTAATTAAACTTTGTCTTCCATCGGCTAATTGTCTCTGCTCGTTTTTAGGTAGTAGGTATCGTTGCAAATTTACGCTCAGCAAATTCTTCGAACCTGACGCAATTCATTAACTCGACCATCTAATTAAGCTGTTAATACCGGAGGACGAGTTAACTAGTTATTGGAACGCGCGAGGAATTCAATAATGCAATTAGTAAAACTGATACTATAACGCTTGTATTAGGAAACAGGTATTAGGTTCGGATTAGAAATTTTTTACCCTAGGCTACCCTAGGTTCAGGTACCTGCAGATCCTAGAAAATACAAAGTGTTCCCTTAATTTCCGGGGAACCATCATCGACCCTCTGCTTAATTAGGAGAAACGAAGGGTCGTGCCCTTCGAATCGTTTTCCCTAAGAAGGCGAGCGTTAGCCTGTTTTCTGCAGCTGTTCAAGTACACCTATCTGGAAACGCTCGATTTAATTGGCACTCGTTCGAGATCAATCGAGACCGATCGATCGATTAGCTGTTTGCCTGCAGAGGTTCTGAACACGGATGTGTCCTTCCCACCCGATCAAATATTTAACAATTGATCGTCTATTTCCTAGAAATAATAGAAAATTTTTCTTCATCCTCCGCGTGGAACTGTACGGAACAATATTTGCCACGACTCGAGGCCACTTCTTTCATCCGTGTGCTGGATGTTTTCGAAACAGAAGCAATCCTCTGGCAATACAAACCATAGAGGAGCTTGATTTCGTGCCACAGCCAGCACTTGTCCGGCTGAAAGTCAATCTCGCCGCGGCTCGTAAATCCTTATAAAGTCGAAGGCTGCTGTCCCGTCGAGAACAACCGCGATTTCAAGATGGTGTTTCCATTGAAAAGGAGGCCGTGTAAATAATGGCGGAACTGTAACGGCAGAGATCGCTCCTCTTATACGAGTCTTCTGGAACATCATCCCTTCGTGACCAGATCTACCATCACATTTATCTTTTATCTTTTATTTCATTTTCTCCAATATTTTCGTCGATTCTATCATTAATATCAGCGGTCAAAATTCTTCGAACCAGGAGTGTTTAAAAAATTTTTAACAGTTGCAAAACAATAGAATGGCTCCCATTTTGTAGATTTACGAATGAACCGCAGGATCGTTAAAGTCTTTTATCCTCGCTCTTAAAAAAAAGGAATTTCAAACGATCGTGTCGTAAAGCTAGAACAAACGTAGCCCTCGGCTTTGCTTGAAATAAACATTGCTTCTTTGAAACATGGAACAAGTATCACGAGACGTTTCCCGTACAGCTGCATCCATTTTACGAGGATCCTGTTACGCGCTCGGTCGACGACCAAAGCTTTCTACAGGTGTTTATCGATCACCCTGACCAACCCCGGCGAACAACCACTTCAACTTTTCACCTCCCACGATTGCTACACAAAGAATCGCGGAAACGACGTCCAAAAATTTCACGCACGCTAATTCCCTGTTGGAATAATTCATTCGTTCTTAAAAAAACAAAATTCATTTCCCGAGTCCCGTATAGGAAATTATCGAACAGAAACGATTCTATTCATCGTCAGGTAAGACAGAGGGAAAATCAACTGCAAAGGGCTTTCCTCCGAGTGTCTGTTTAGCCGAAGAATAGCCAGTCAGCCAGCGAAACAGCCAACACCTTCATTGTTTCGAGGTGTACTCGAGAAGGAAAGGAAAGCCCCGCCGGTGGTTTCACACTTCCGGTACCCTCGTGCATCCACTTACGAACGAACGAACAATCGGCCGTTGGTTAGCCGGTGATTATTGATCGGATTGCCAAGCAGGCTTTCGAAGCTGCTGAAAAGTGGGCGTTGGCTGTTGCGTGACAAGAGGAGAAACTTTTGCTCGAGTGCATCGATCTTTAAGAATCGATCCCGGGGATCGAAAGCCTCGAATCACGATTCGAGGATGCTCACCGATTCGGAAGACGAACGTTGACCAGTCACGAGCGGTGTTCCAGTTATTTTAATCGTTTCAACCTGGTCCAAATGGGTTTTCCTTGTACGCTGGAAATTTATCGGTCGTTAGACGAAGAATGCAACACCTTTTTCCTCCTTCCGGTGAATCACCGGCGAGGAATGGCGCGTCCTGATCGGTTTCGATGATTCGGTGGATTCTTACGTTCGCGATGTTCCCAATTACCGAACTTTTCGCTCTCGGCTAGAAATTATTCGCCAGCTTGGTAAACACTCGCAAGCTGGCGATGACGTTCGCGATTTACGATTCGACACGCGTCGAGCGGAAAGTTCGCCGCGAGTTCCTCCGTGTGACTGTGTAATTACCGCTTGGAATGGCGCGCGCGTCCGTGGACCAGCGCGAAACAATCTCGCAGACTCTTCGAGTTTCCCAGCGACAGCGGAAACAGCCGGATTTCAATGACTCTAAGCGAACAGTCTGAGTTTCGCTGGCTGCTTCTACTTAGAAGTAAACGCGAGCCCGACAACCCAGCCTAAATCACCCTCGGGGCGGACCAAAGTGTTCGAGCGCCAAACAAATTTCCGCCTCGCCGGACCACAGGCGGATTTATTTCGCGACACAAAGAACCGTGCTGAGTAATATACTCTTCGAATCCAGTTCCTATTAATACGACTCTTAAACGACTCAATTGAAATTAGAAAAAAAGAAGAAATACTATTGCCTCGAAATAGCTTTGAAGAATTCTAAAAATCCTAAATGTTTCATCAATTTTTACATAAAATGCAATTGAAAAAGAATTCGATCGCGAAAGGGATGAAAATTTCGCGGAATTTCGAACCGGGGGGCGTAACGAATCAGCATTCACCGTTCCAATAGGAATTACGGTGTTGATATTTCGTTGATAATACCCTGTGAACGGTGAATCGGTGGAGCGGCCAGCCGATAACAAATTAATTTATAGTTCGCACGGGGTGGAAGGTGGAGAGGACGCGTATTTAGTCTATAGACATCCGTGATCGAGGTAATTACAGCCGAAATTCGTGCGAGCTCTCTATAAGCATGTAACACGAATGTAATAACCAAGGAGACAATGCGGGTACCGGCAAAGAGGAGCATACGATAGGACGGGTGATAGAGGGTGGGAGGGGGTGGTATAGACAATCGCGTAATTGTAGCACATTGATCCGTCGGAGGAGATGACCTCGAGTGTATAGGTAGAGGTACAGGGGCCTGGCAAACCTCGCCGAGACACGATTGATTGCTTGCGATCAGATTATGGCAATTAATGGCCGAAGTGCTATGGATCAACTCGCTTGTAAATTAGTTCCGGTTCCAGGCCAGAAACTCCGGGAATTCAACTTATCACCGCAAGTACGTGGACCAACGTAACGCGTATTGTATCGAGATCAACTGCGCTATTCAGGGTGTTCGTCTGTCGATTTCACAACTACCATCGATGGATTTCAGATCCCCCTCCATCGAGATTGACGCAGAAGGAAGTGGATTAATCATTCGAATTAACCGTGATATTAAAATTTCTGCAGGATCTGGGGCAGTGGTTCCTAACTTTTTCAAAATCACGGTACATTTAGCACAATTTTTTTTCATGGAATTTTTTGGCGAAATACTTTCTCTAAGTTTACGATTAAGGATAAAAACGTGGATTCCTCGAGGTCAAAGGTAGACGTATAATTCGTTATTAGAATAATTGTTTGAGAATGTACTCACAACGTCGATGAGCTGGGAGAGGCGTAGTCCCATTTTGACAGTGAGGCGATCGCTGTTGTTGCCAACAGGGCGGATGAGGCGGTTGTAGTTCGACAGCAGGTCATCGTAGAGACGCTTCGCTTCCGGATTGGCCGAGGCACCCGGAAACGGGGCAACAAGACAGGAAATGGCCGTCGCCATCGCCAGCAATCCGCCCAACCTAGACCACCATCGCCACCAGCCTTTCCCACCGTCGTTCGAGCAAGCATCCCTAAGCATCGTACGCCTTGTCCACCCCTGAAATCAGAAATAAAAATACAATTAGAATTATTTGAATTTACAAATAAACGACATACAGTGGGTCGGAAAATCATTCGTACATCGTTTAAAACAGAATAAAATCAAATCAAATTTAAATTTTCATTATAGGCTCACATAAAAAAGCTGAAAAATTGCCTTTTACTATTTTTTTTTCACCATTTCGACAAACTGCAATTTTTTAAAACAACAAAGCTCAAGTAATTTGGTCCAATTTTAAATAAGTAGAGCAGTCTTAATCAACTAAACTCATTTTCACGGAAGAATCAAGGTTTACCACGCGTGAAACACCATCAATCGAGGTTTTCGTTTGTACCAGACACCTGGTACGTGGCACGGAAGATACACGTGCTTGTCGGTATCTCATAACGCTTTGACACGGAGACTTTTCAAGCGAATCACGGTACATAGTAAGGCGTAAGTTGGTTGCCAGACGAAGTCATTTACTAGTCGTATAGAAGAGCGTAACCGTCCATAAAGGAGGGCTTGAACGGCATTGTTGTGTCGCTGAAAGGTAAGGGAAGAGAGAGAACCTCTCGAGGAACTTTTATCGCTTCGTTGCTGACCTACCTGCGGCCATTATCAGTGTACCTATACGCCTGGAAAAGCTACTTTTCACCGTATTATCCGGGGATTTACACGTCTTACTTCGTTCCGAATATAAATGAGCCTAATCATTTTTGCAACCCTTAACGCTCGAACCCTTGCTTAGGGATGGGTGAACACCTACGCCTGGAATCGAGTCGAATAGGACCCCGAAGGTTCGTCCACTCTTGCTTCAACCCAAGAGCTAAAATTTTCTGAAAATTTTCAATTTTTCTGTAAATAATTTTCCAATCAATCGATCGATCAATTAATCACCCAACAGTGTCCGAGTATATAAATGAGCCTAATCATTTTTGCAACCCTTAACGCTCGAACCCTTGCTTAGGGGTGGGTGAACATCTACGCCTGGAATCGAGTCGAATAGGACCCCGAAGGTTCGTCCACTCTTGCTTCAACCCAAGAGCTAAAATTTTCTGAAAATTATCAATTTTTCTGTAAATAATTTTCCAATCAATCGATCGATCAATTAATCACCCAACAGTGTCCGAGTATATAAATGAGCCTAATCATTTTTGCAACCCTTAACGCTCGAACCCTTGCTTAGGGGTGGGTTAACATCTACGCCTGGAATCGAGTCGAATAGGACCCTGAAGGTTCGTCCACTCTTGCTTCAACCCAAGAGCTAAAATTTTCTGAAAATTATCAATTTTTCTGTAAATAATTTTCCAATCAATCGATCGATCAATTAATCACCCAACAGTGTCCGAGTAAACAGCGACGTAATGAGGCGGTGTCAGACTATTGACACACGGTGCAAATATAATATAAATATTATGATATAATTTGTTGTTCGGTTTGTCAATCAACGAAATTGCATTTACAGAACGCGTTATTGTGAAGTTATTCAACGGGCGACAAGCTGGTTCTGACGTCGATCAGGAAATAAAACGCGACACCGATGCCGGGTATAATTTCGCGCGTTATCGAAAGCATAATGACACGAATTCGCAGTTAAAGGATCGATACGGTGGCCCGTAAAATTGTAAATAGGAGGGAAAACGCGTTCTTGCGGACGCGCAATTTCAACGGTATCGATTGTAATTTTACGGCCGGCATCGGCGAGACCATTCGTGTTCCTGCGATATTTATTTCCCGGCCTGACGTGGACCGTGTATAAATTTCATTTGCATCCCGGTAATGAATACATCTTTTTATACAATTCGTCGATTAACTCGGTGACTCGCGAACAGGAATAACGCGAAATGCTTTACTTTTTTCCATCCAGAATGCTTTTCATTTCAACCATGGAATTAATAAAAAAGTATATTATATCGTTAACAGACGATTGTATTAAACGTTACGATTGCTTTTGTTCTTTTATTTCAATTGAAATTATTCAAATATTACACGAGGTATTCATTCGAGTTTCATCAAACGTGACTGGGTTTTTCTTTGAAAATCTATCCAACTGGTAATCGAAACGCGTACGCGGCGTTTACTCGAATTTACAAAATTTCCGTCAACGTTTGAACGTCAACCATAATCGCACGCTTCTGTTTTAACAGTGCGTGCCAAACGCGCGTGTCGCTATGGCGTACACATTGACGTTTCGGTCTGTTTTGTTAATGCCTTGAATTCATCGATTTTCCCAGTCATTTGCATTTTCCGCGTCCACGGTGGACACTAATTACAATGAAACACGTGGTATGGAATATAAAAATGTAAATGACGGGGTTATCCGAAAATTTGGATCGATTCCAAGGGAAGTTCGAAATTTACCCGAACTGTCGCGTAATAATAAAAGAATAATATTGTCCACAAAAAACTAACCGTTCCAATTTAATTATTTTAATTATTTGAAAAAATAAATTTTAAAAATAAAATTTGTACTTTAAATTTAAATAGAAAAAAGCCTTGTTGCAACGCGACAAATATAAATACAGATTGGAGAAGATAAAATAATGAAGATTGGAGAGCGGCATCTTTATCACTGAATTTTTTATGCCAACTACCCTGACAGTCGATAAGTTTCCCCTTCAAAAAAGTTTTATCGGTGCACCGTTTGATCGGGCAGGTTACCATATTGAAAAATGAGAAATGGCTCGGGGCCAAGATAGTCGAAGCAGAATCGAGACCTCGCGGGACACCTTATCGAGACTGCTTAGGGTCGAGCAGACGTAGATAAAGCGACCCCCTTGGTCATTATCAATCCCCTTCGTCCCCTAACGGTTCAACCCTCTGGTCGAGTTAATTACACCGGAATTCCGTTCATCCCAACCTCTCTTTTTTCTTCCTCCTCTTTTCACAAATCCCTTTCGTTGCACATTCTTCTCTACCGTGACTTCCTTACATCGAGCCATTTCGAACCGTACTTTGTCGGGCTTTATCGAACTGCGCCGATCTCTGGGGAGATCGGACGCAGTTTGATACCGGAGCAAAACTCGATAGATATATATTTTACTTACGGGAATTTACCAGAGTGGATGGACGTAGGATAAATGCGAACCGGGTTAATTCGTCACAGTTCGGCAAGTTTCTCGCGAAACTTTTTATCACGAACGACACCGGTTAATTGTCTACCAAAGCAATTTTCAATGTAATTCGCTCGGGGAACGGTGGAATTCGCGATGGAACTCCGATCCCTCTACGTACACGCGAAAAATCCCCTTTCTTTGACATCCGAATAGCAGAACGCGAATTACTTTATCGATTATCGGACAACGTCGGTGCATTTTCGTTTTAATCGCGGACCATGAGCAATGGAATGTAACGACGTGGATATTTCGAGCCATCGATCGGTCAGTGTATTACGAAATCACGATTTTCTGATATAAAGTGTCACATTTTTTAATTAATTAATTTTTTTAATTATAAACTGAGTGAAGCACCTTTTTGTACACAAGAGAATTGAATAAAAATACGAGAATTCAGAGTTCGTACTGTTTATTTAGGTCGCAACAATGCAAATCGTGAAAATTTGAGAGAAGTGCAACGTAAACCCAAGAAATTGATGTTGCAATAATGAAACAATTATTGAAGTAAAATTAATGCACTCCCCGAGATTTCTAAAGTAATCTTAACTTAACTATAGACTATTTCTAAAATAAATAGCATTCGCAAGGGGAGCGTGCGGTGGTGTATTAAATTTATGGAAAGTTTGCGTGGATTTATTGAAAGGAGACGTGGACAGAACGCGAGCTATGAATGCACGTCGTCATCGTTCAGTGTTCCGACGCAGCTCGAGCGTTGCAACTGGGCTAATCGAATCTCGTGCCACGTACACCCACTAACTAAGCTTTTATACACACGTTCAGGCTGCACATTAATTGGGCCGGCTCTCTATTTCGTTTCGCTACGCGTATCTGTTCGGCAAAACGGTGGAAAGAAAATAAACCTGCTGCGCTCTTAACGAGAAGGAAAAACAGGGGCTAAAAATAAATCCTTCTTCTTTTTCTTTTCACCTGGTAATTGTAAAATAGGGGATGAAACTGATTCGAAAGTGTAAACTTCCGAGTCATTGTAACGAAACCAGTTCATAGAAGAAAAGAAATGGAGTGTAAAATAAATGATCTTCTTTGTAATTGTTAAAGAAAGGAATTTTCTGAAAGTGCTTTAAAGCCGCAACCGGAGCAAGAACAAAGGGGATGTAAACAAATTATCATCCCCTATAAAAAGAAGTCTATTTCCTTGAATTTTACAGTCTTAATCTTTGAAACTGTATTCAACTTGTAAACTCCGATAACGGTGAACGACCAATCTGTTTAAGTAGAAGGAACGTGAACATGAAAAAAGGAAGTTTATCTGGAATTTGAAAGTTTCGATTGAAAAGACTGCGAACGACGAAGGCGAATAAACCTTTCGGTGACCGCGCGTCGGCAAAGTAGCCGGAGTTAATTAAAACGACACAGAGAGCGAGTGGTTGAAAAAGGAAACAGGATATAAACGAGGCGACAATAAAATTAACGTCTGCCGTCGGTTTTTCACCGTTCCTTCTTTTTTTTTTTGTCTTCTTTTTTTATAAGGCCTGCTACCGTTTTTAGCCGTCGAGGCGGGGCTTAATTTAGAGCGGTGGCTGGATTTACGGGGGTGGCTCTCCCTCGAGTTTCGCCGTTATGGATCGTGTACCGCTTGACGGCCGACAACGAAGCAGGATCGAGGATCGCAAGAAGCGAACCGTGTGTACACGTGAAAAAAAAGAAAAAAAAAACATTTATACGAGCATTATATATACATTCTTTTTTTTTACGTACGAACCATTAAGGTCGATGGACTTTCAGTCAACGGGCGAACAATTTTTGTCAGACTTTTCATAAAATCCAGGAAGAGTTTCTTTCGTGCCGGTCGACAGCTACGGAAACGGCAAAAGCTGGCACAATTTCCGGAAGTTCGCGTTTTCGCTGCTCCTAATGACCGACACTTTTTACAGTCAGCTC